TAAGTGGAGAGGAAATGTTTTGAGAATGATGAGGGCAATGAATGTACAAATGTGCTTTACACAATCGATGCATGTATGGATTTTGATAAGAGTTGTATGAGCCCCCAATAAAACGATTTAAAAAAAAGAAAAGAACAAAGGAGGAAAGTTCAACGGAAATGGACTCGGAGTCTTGTGACAAACAAGCTCACTTCAAACAATAAGAAGAAAAAGAAACAAAGAAATATCTGTACGTACTTTTGCATCCCATTTTTGTGAAAAGGTTCTTCAGGTCAGGATCCTTAGCGTGCGATTCTACTCCACAAACAAATATTTTCGAGGTGTTATTATTTGTTAAGATTGACATATGGGCAACTGTGTACCATGAACCTGTATTGACCATTAAGATGTCATCATCCATATTCAATAAAGCCTTTACTGAATGGACAGCAAGACTTCGAGATTTGTCCTACAAGACAATGGTGTGATTAGAATTTCAAAAAGTACATCTGAACGCATAAACTAATTTTTGGTGGGGGAGGGGGGCTAAAAAAAGACATCGTTGGTGGGAATCTTGAAAAGATACCTAATCCATTCAGATTAAAATATGTCTAAATACTAAATACAGGTAACATATATTTGAAGAAAAACCTCATAATTGTTTGGCCTCAATATGGACTGTTATCATTCAGCTTTTATATAATAATCCAGCTATCCACTGCTGTTGAGTTGATCCCCACTCACAGGAGAATGGGCTGAGAATCAGACTGCCTCATATTTCTCTCACAAAGTAGCTGGTAGGTTTGAACCACTGAACTTCTAGTTAGCAGTCCCATGTGGAGCCCACTGTCCCTCTAGGACTCCTTCATCCAGTGCTCAGGTAAGATGTGTTGACAGATGAGTGATAGCCTTTGTTGGACCCTCATTCGTAGCCCATCGTGCAAATCCATATGTGTGGCTGCTGCCCTCTCTCCCAGGACACGGCATCCCAACTGCTGCCAGCTCACAGATGAAAACCCAGAAGCGGGCGGAGCGGGGAGGAGGCGGATTGAATTTCTGCATGTGATCTCCGTGTCACTACAAAACGGGCCAAAAGCCTGTCTGAGAATATGGTGCTAAGGAAGACCAAGGTGAACCCAAGAAAAAATTAGACCCAAAGGATCGCCCCCCCTGCTGTGGAGTCAGGTCCGAGTCACAGTGACCCTGTGGTTCTCCCAAAGATGGAATCATTACAGAGCCGGCACCTCATCTTTCTCCCTCAGAGCGGCTGCTTTCGAACTGCTGACCTTGTGGTGAGCAGTGCAGCGTGTAACCCACTACTCCACCAGGACAGAACATGAACTTAAGTTTCCAGTCCTGTTCTTTTTTATTCTATTGAACTCTTATCACGCCTTGCTTTCTCTTCTTGCAGTACACAGCGTAGTATATATACTACACTGTACTATATGCATCGTACTTTCTATACAGGAAATTAGTGAAAACTGGAACTTGTATACAATATACACCTTCTATCAGAGAAGCAAAACTGCAATATTTCCCATTAATAGAGATTAATAGAAAAGTGGTTCCTGGGTTTCCGTACTGAAAAAAAAAGGGGGTAAAAAAAAGTGGTAAGCCTTCAACCTGCCAAAGGCAGAAAACCTTTAAGACCTGGAAAAACAAGGTAGTCCCATCAACCCATCAGTTCCAGCTCTGGCACAAGTTTCTCTGTAGATCAAACCAAACCTGTCAGTGTCTAGTAGAGTCCGATTCATGTCACCCCTCCCGTGTCACAGACTAGGAGTGTTCCAGAGGTTGTGCTGGCTGTATACATATATTTTTCATGGAAGCAGGTTGTCAGACCTTTCTTCTGTGGTCCCAGTGGGTAGGTCTGTCCACCAACCTTTCTGTTAGTGCTCAGTCACAAATGGTTTGTACCACCCAGGAACCTGGCTGTTACACATGCCTTGCAGATGAAAGCTATTGGGATTAGGAAAGAAAGCACTGCTCTTTCATACACGGGGCGGCACTAGCAGTGTATCATCCTCCGAAATGGAAGAAAAAGTGTCAAGTACTCTCTGCAATTTTCCCTTCACTCACTCACTCACTCACTCACTCACTCACTCACTCACTCACTCACTGCCACTGAGTCGATTCCTATAGGACAGAGTAGAGCAACCCTATAGGACAGAGTAGAGCTGTCCCCGTGGGCTTCCCAGACTGTACATCTTTACAGGAGTGGAAATCCTCATCTTGTAAATCCTCCTCCTGTCTGTACATCTTTATAGTGTCTGGTGGTCCCGAACCGCTGACCTTGCAGTTAGCAGCCCAATGAGTTACTTGCCACACCACCAGGGATCCTTCATGGTGACAAACATATAGCCTTCTGGTTGGCAGCAATATGAGTCTCCTATTCTGAGGAGGAGGAGATGTTTTTGACACCTTCGCCTGAGATGAAGACGGTGAAGTGCAACACGAGCCCTGAGTGCAGTGGTGTTCGAA